TTACATTCGGACATTCATTGCTTTGAGACGGTACTGTTCCTGTAATACATTTCCGAAAAACGTCTAAAAAAATATTTCGAAATAAATAAACACTCTGTATCTCGCTCCATTCGCGTCTATCAAGTCATCACTCATGGTTGCTGTACATTTTTGCCACATCGTCACGAAAATATCCATCCAATATACAATGTGTTCAAAGTTTAAGTCTAAACAACTAATTACTACTGAAGCGGTTCTCTTCGACACAAGCGATTGATTTGCATCCGTCCTACATTCCATATAATATATATGTTTATATAAATACTTGTAATTTGTAATTAATGTAACAACACACACGGAGTACTATCCTTATATCAAATATTACTTACTATCAAATATGCCTACGCCGCCGTCGCACGCTTCGATACCGATAAGATCAATAAGAAAAATTCTACCACGACACTTACGAATATCAAAAACCCAAGATGGCGGCGGCGCCGGCCATCTTGTCATCATCCGCTCGGTTTGCAGCACAAGCCCGTTATTTCCCAAAATGGATTTTATTTTTCAGACGCCCCCAAACTTTTAGATTTTGACCTAAAAATATGAGACCCATTTCAGCCCTTAAAATTGATATTAAACCGTGCCTAAATCATAATCCTTTTCTCATTTAAATAACATGGGATTTCCTGACGTTTTGCAATTAATTTTTATCTCCAAAGTAAATAAACCTACAGCTTCGACAAAGACATATTCTAATGCAAAATTTTACCCTCTACAAAAATGATCTCTTTGGTTTTGCTTAAAACATTCCTGTAAAAGTTATTTGCGATTAAAGTTATACACATAGTTTATTATCTCATTTACAGCAAATTCTAACTGCGCCACCTATAATCAATTGATCGAAACTAGAGTTTACGTTACAATAATCGCGTATCGACAACGCGACTTAATCTTTGAATAATTTTACAGGGTTGATTTTATCGAAAAAGTATTCAGACCTTTTTGTAGAGCGTAAAATTTCCGACAAAATATGTTCCAGCGGTATTTTTAGCTATATTTGTTTCGATAAAAACAATAACTGTAAATACTTATACGATATTTAGTAAAAAACACCTAATTAATCAAGTAATAAGTATAAATATTCTTAGTAAAGTTTCTAATAGTTGCGTTCGGTGTCGGTGTATTATCCTTGGCGATATTTCAATTCGTATTGATTTTAAAAACTGTTTTTTCTGGATTCTGGATTGTAAGCTGTAGGATATTCAAGATATTTTATTCGTTACCATTAGAAAAAGTGAGTTTAATGACTATTTTATCATAATTCATGTGGTACAACCCTTTAGACCCTGATTGCGCCTTGAAAATCAAAATTTAATTTTTTTACCATTTTATCTTGAATATTGTGCTTTTTGGACAGCCTTGATATTCATCCGTATAAAATAAATTAACAACTCCATGATACACGCACTAAAAAATGAATTGATTTATTAGAGTGATTGAATTGTTTGAGCAATCGCTGATTGTTTCCGGTTGACTGATTGATCAAAATTTTGAGCAGTCGTTGGTTTCGAATTGACGTACGCACTGCGCAAGCGTCCTGTAACCCTGAGTCTCATATCACCTACGCGCAGCGCGCTAGCGCACGTCGAGTAAAAACAAGAGCTGTGATAGCTTAGCAGGACGCCGATACCGAGCTGAGTCAACGTGCGGATTGGCAGTTTACAGGTAGTGCTTGTATTTCATTTACATTTCATATACAATTCGAACGTATTGAGGTAAAACGGTTCTTTTGTTTTAAGTTTTAAGGTATGTCGTCCGCTGTCAAACTCTGCTCGCGCATATGCGCATGCGTGCTGTCAACTCGACGCCATATGTTTCATAACCATGTGTCATAGAGTTGTTAATTCATTCCATCGATGTAAAACGTTCGAAAAACGTCGTAAGTCCGTAAAAAATACTATCGTTAGTTTGGCATGTTGTTTGTCTCTACGTTGATATTCGTTTGTTTAGTTTGCTAGTGTTTAAACAGCGCTGCTTTCTCTCGCTCATCGTTTACTTCGATATTGAGTAAGATTAATTTGATTTAAATAGGTTTTAATACGCGTAGTAGTGTAAAGTTTATTGTAAAAAGCTTATTACGTCTTTATCTTATTGTAAGAACCTTAGATTAGGTAATTTTCTATTGCGTGGAGTACAATTGTATGTATAAAATTGTTTAGTTAACACGTGGTGAAAGATGAGTGCATAGAAGTTATGCAACCAAGCATTCAGATGCGTATGACTAAAACAAAACCGATGACATTTCATTTACAACTAAAAGTAAGTAAATAATTAGGTGATTTTTGTTCTCGTTCTGATGTTTTCACGTTCCTAACATTGCAAGACGCCTTACGTTCTTAATGATTACTCAATTATTATTATTATTTCTGTATTTTACTCATAATTTTCAATCGAAAACATGAGTTGTCTGTTTTTGATGTTTGGATATTAGATTTTATTGTTTTGGGTGTGGTATTGTTGTAATAAGTAGAGTCGAGCATTTTGGCAGCCACGAAAATTTCATAAATTGGTCCTCGCACCAGCAAAAATGCTGTTTTTCGCTTTTGTGTGTTCCCTGACAACTGAATTTGTTGCGTCAAAATCATTACGAACCCTTTTTTCTCGCGTTGAAAATTTCTGGTTCTTGACAATGTTTTCGCTTTGATTTACATCCCATGTTATCGTGTTTATAAATACTTTCACGTTAGTAGAAAAAACGACTACAAACTACGATTATAATAATTGATCAATATTCACGCAATCTTCGAACTGAAACCACAACATTTTCACGTTGTAAAAGCAAAAACTGTCGAATACTCTAATCCGTTTCTAATTAATTGAGCCGAAACAACATCTACGCTTTAAATGTTAATTATTAGACCGATTCTTTAAATTTTTATTTTTTCTTAGGCCACGTTGATTCGCAAAAAGGCTAAACCTGCGTTTTTAATTTAAATTTTTTTTCTGTCAAATGCTGCGATTAAATTTTGTTTCTTTTTTTCAAAAATGTTTCAAATATAGTTCGATATCTTTCACAATAATTCAATTTTTACCAAAAATATGTTTACATCATTTTTTCTTCTCCAATTTTTATCGACATTAATACACGTTCATACGCCTAAGTTTATAAATTCATGTTTACATACATTATTATGAATCACCGATTAATTATTACTTGAGACACTTGCTTGTTAGCGTTATATTCCTAATCGTAAAGTCGTAAATTTAATTGTATCAAAAAGGGAGTTGGGGAGAGTTCACAAAGCGCGGGTGCATGCATCGAGACTTATCCACTACCAATGGGTGAGTGAGTGTGTGAGTTTAGTAAAAAATACGTATACAATAATTAGTTTCAAATTTTTACCAATCGTATCGTTATCGTAATATTATAAAAAACATCTAACTTCGTATCTTAGATTAATTGAATATCGACATCGCGTGGATTATCACCACTCTAGTTATTAAAGAATTATTACAAAGCTCGCTCGCATCATGTTTCAAATTTTACACGCCAAAAACAAATTTAAACCAAAAATTTCAAAAAAAAATGTTTTTTATTTTGTAGTAGGCTTGCTGTTTGTCGGGTTGTTTCTCGTTCGTTTTTGTATTTTGCTATTTATTTAATAAACTTCCTATAGGATAATTGCATTTGTCTATATGGCATTTACAATATGATTATTTAATTAATATTCCTTTAGCAAAAAGATTCAATTCAACAACACTTTCACTATTTAATAATCATCGATAACCAAATAATGGAAACAATCATATGTGAGTGGATGTACACACGTAAACATGAAATATGTATCGTCTTATATTGTTACCTATTTGTTACTCCCATCATAAAAGCATTTGTCATTTGTTTCATCTGTTTCACCTGTCGTCATTTAGTTAAAAAACACGTTTTACTTTTATCATAATATAGAGCGATATAGCAAATTTTTAGTTTTCTTTCATTCTCTTTGTAGTGAGGAGATAATGATTCATCTTCATTTTTTAGTTTGTTTTGTATCGGTTTGTACTTAATATCTTTTTTGTTATCTGAGATAAGAGGAGCGAAAACAAGAATAGTTTATATCTTCCGTGCTGGTAATTATCTAAAACCATTTCAACTATATATGTGTGATTTGCATATTTGAATATTATTCTCCGGGATAAAAATCTGCCATTTTGTTTCACGTTCCCCGCCATTTTATCCACGACCACGTTTCATCTTGTGTGTCACACAAGCATTGTGTGAGGTTGCAGTTGAAAGTTTGTATGTGTGTGTATGTCTGAGAGCATTTTGTACGTTCCGTTACGAATTGGAAGGCGAGCAACGAATCAACGAAACATGGCGTCCACGGTGGACGCCATCTTGTCGATCGTCATTAGTTTTTACCTCAACTTTGTTTCATCTGTTTATGCAGAGGAATTGATGAAAGTGGTTGCAGATTGCACGCGTTGTCACATGTCATAAAAATCAAGATCAAAACATGAAAAAAACGCGTTCATTCAAATCATACGCGTGTTTTTTCTTTGACATTCACTTCGAGCTCATCCAATTGAACCAAAAATATGAATTAAATGCATTTTAAGCTTAAAGCTTTCGAAATAAATTTGTTGGTGAAAATTTCACATCCATTCGGCGACATTCACACGTATTGCAGTTCGCTTATCAAACAAATCATTAATCGTAGTTTATCACTAATTATTGGGACACAGCAAATTATACTTTTGTTCCTTACTTGTTAACGCCTTAATTACGAAAATCCTTAACTCGTTAAAGGGTTTATTCCTAATTGTAAGATTAAAGCAATATCTTATTACTTCTTCGAAACGTTGTATCACCACCAAATTGTGTATTAAATGTGTTTCAAGTGTGTGATGCGTGTTATAACCAAGTCGCATACAGAGTGTTCGAATTGTTATATTGAAAATGTCCTTGTAAAAACACTCCGTATGCGAGTATTAAAATAAAAACGTTTACCACTCTCTCGTCCATAGAAGCTTTGATTTATTATCGTTTCTTTAATTTCTCTTTTTTTGTATAAAATATTAATTATAATAAAATAATAGATAATAATCATAATAAAATTCGAGCTAAACTATAATTAAGTAGAATTAGAACAAGTAATAAAAGGAAAAAATAATAAAAGAACAAGACAAGAACAAAAAAATGTTGTTTTCAGGAAAAAAATTAAGCTAACAAAAAGAAAAACTGAATATTTTTTCCAATTCGATAAAAAAAATAATAAAAACAAACAAATACTTTGCCAACGTTTTGTCGCAGCATGCATATAATGCAAATAAAAACAAACGAAATTTGATTCTTTCACGTTTAGCGACTTTTCAAGTCGTTTTTTTCGAAAAATTTCCACTTTTCACTTAGTTTCTTCAGTTTCACTTTCATCGATCGCACGTGTCGACGCACGTGGACCATCAAAAAAACCTAATAAAATTCACTATAAACTAACAAACATAATAATCATAATGATAAACTAATAATAAACTAATAAACATTTGTGTTTCTGGGCGTCCGAGTGCATCCAAACGCGCGCAATTCAAAAAATTCGTTTAATCCGCGTGTAGTAGTGGGTGTGGATTCATGTGATGGGGTTGTGGATTAGATCATGAAGAAGTGTGCGTGAGTGTGTGTAGATGTGTGTATGAGGGAGGTGCGTCTACCGTTCGCGCGTCAGCTGCAGACGGCAGAACTCGTCCAGTCGGAGGCCGGCCAGCTCGCGCCACAGCAGGCCGAGGTCGAGATCGTCGGCGTCGGCGAGATCGGGCGGCGGCGAGGGTGGGGCCTTCGCGGGGGCCGCATGCTATGGCCACAACTGCATGCTGCGCTGCGTCGCGCGCGCATAGCAGTACGGCAGCGGCTTCACGAAGTGCGTGTCCAGCGTGCGGCAGTGCGGGCACGGCACCATGTGGCTGTAGTCGCTGAAGTAGTTCAGCCGCTGCGCCGGATGCAGCACTGGTTTGTAGCACGAATTACACTGCAAGCAATAAGATACCCAAAAAATTACACACACACATCCAATAACAAAACCAGCAAAAACACAAAAATTCGGCGCCTCCACCATTTTTTTTTTTTGAGAAAAATAAAAATTACCTTTATGCGTTCAGTGCAACAAGGCATGGCAGCGAAGATATCGTAGGAGTACATGGTACCCAACACTAGGGAGGAGCCGTCCCACTGCTGGGTGCAGTAGCGGCAGCGAATGGCGCGTCCCGGAGCGCCCTCAAGGCAACCCATACAGACAACGGTGAGGAATTGCGTCCGACCCTCAACTTTCACCTGAAGAAACAAATTTAAAACATATTTAAATATAAAAACAATTTTTTTAATTTTAAAAAATAATTACCTCAATGCAACTCTTTGCATGCTGACGTGGACTAAGAAAGAAGGTGCCATCAACGAGAGGATACCGGTCGAAGACAAGCAGCTGGTCCTCGCAGAGGACGCATTGTACGCGCGACCGCCCCTGCGACGCCAGCGTCGACAGAATGAAGCACCGCGTGTCATCGTTGCCGTGATTGCCTTCGTCTTCCGTCTGCAAGCAAACAAACATAAACCAACGTGTTACTTCCTCAATCGCACACAAAACAAACATTTCAAACATCATCACAAGAGTTCTAATATCCGGCAAGCAAGTACAAATGTCGAAAGTTCAAACAAAACGCTCAAATCTCAGCGTTGGCAGTTTTTATACTTTTTTTCTTCTATTTATGTATAGTTAACAACGTGAAATCTCTATCTGGATGTTGAGATTGCAATTCCATTTGCACAAATTGCACCCCCTGCCTTTTAACCCACCAGCGACACACGCTAAATGGTAGAATAAAAAATAAAGCGGCCATTCCGAGGGCGGTTTTCACGTACGTGAGTACGTGCGACCGGTTTTAGCAACCGCCGAAAACAAAACGATAAACGGGATATTCACACGTGCGCTAATGCGAAGCGGAAAACAAAACTTTAAAAACTAGAGTAAAAGATATCGTAAAACAATAAAAACCGAAAATAAAAATAAAAAATAAAATCCTGCAATCGTTTAGTGAATTGATGATTCAACTAAAAGCGTTTTTCTGCGTTCGAATGTGTAATAAAACCTTCGCCTGCGAAAAAAACTAATAGAAATATCAGAATAGATGCAAATGGCGCAAAACAAACAAAAACAATCATCTATTTCTGTTATAGTAGTAGTAAAGTTGATTTTTTTTATTGGTTGTTTCAAAGTCATCTAATTATTCGGCTCGTAAACGTGAATATTCCGGGAATTTTGTACGCCGCTCACAATTAATTCCCGCTTTGCATATTTCATTAGACGCGTTTCTCCTTTCCTTTCCGGCGGCGCGAGTTATATATTTTTTGCGTTGCTGCTTCTTTTCTGCTTCTGGTGAGGTCGAAATACCTTCTCCGCTCGCTCGCGCGAGTGCTCATATTGCGTGCGCATTACGACATTAAAGTCGTTTTTAATGTCCCGAGCGCATCGTATTTCGCGCGACGTCTGCCGCCGCGCACGCAGTCACAGCCCATAAACTCTTTCCTGAACACAAACATCCCAAAACGACACATACACACACCGCAAACACCCTCTTTCACCGCATTTCTCCGTCGAGTATGACGTATGTGCGAGTGTGAGTGCGTTGGGTTGCATATGTCACATTTCACGCTTGCGGCTACCAGGCGCGCATAATCTTGTCATTTTAAATTTCGAACACGAAAACACGAGCAAAAAGCAAAACGAGCCGAATGCAAACGTCGGCGTTTCTTCCTTCGGCAGGACGAGCAGACAGCGACAAGGCGTAAGGCGAGGTCGTAGACACTCTCCCGATGCTATTATTAGCGTCATTATTAACCGCCCTCGATGTTTCGCTTCTTTCGTTTAATCAAGTTTTTTTCGCGCTCGCAGCACAGCGTGTTATTGTGCATAAAGTATAAACACAAGGAGCTTTATTATCGCCGGCATGTTTACGCATCGAAATGATGCGTTTTATTAAAATAATAGAATTTGCGGATGAAAAATGCTAAGCATGCGAATGTTACACAAGTGTGCGGAAACCAACAACGAAAAATAAACGAAAGATAATGGGATAAACGAAAAAGAAATTGAAAGACACGAGAAAAGAAACAAAAACAAAGTTCGTGAAAGTTTTATGATGGCGCAAACTTTCCTCTTAATAGTTTTTATTTGCACCAAATAAATAGATCTTTCAATCGCCAACGTTTTGTTTTATTAAATTAATATAAAATTTTTCACATATTATTCCATAGCGTGGAGGCGCCGGGCGCTCAGGGGCCAACAGTCGCGCAGGAGGAAAAAAAACTTTAATAACGCGAAATGAAATAACGCTTGCGCGAACATGCGACGCGGGCCCGACGCGATGAGCTTGTAGACGTATTACGGCACGCTTCACGGATTTCGCGATTAAAAAAATATCATCTCTCGTCGCGACGGAAAAACGAACGAAACCCGCGGCAGCACCGAGATAAAAACGCAAAAACACGCGCTACTAACGAGCGAAATGTCCGAAATATTAAGCGACGACGCGCGAGACAAACCAACCCACGGCGTGGGAAATAAAATAAGAAAATATGGTGACAAACAACAATAAAAAATACAAAAAAATGCAACCAAAATTAAGATTAATATAAAACCGCGCTTGTTTTAATAAACTTCATTAATATTTCTGCTACAGGTTGAAAATGATGGTGTCCTGTCAGCGTTATCAATTAATTAATCTGTTACCATGTTGCTGCTGCTGCTTATCATCCTCGGCTGATAATAAAAATGCCCACCCTTTGTTTTCGGCCATTGCACGCCAAACAATGCACGTCAGATCAACGCGCTCGCGTTATGAGAGCTAAATTTCCGGCTTACGTCAAGTCAAGCCCGTAACACATCCTCCCCCAATTCGCGTATGAAATCAAAATTGACATCGATACGCAACGAATGAAGAAGAAAAAAATTGATCCCGAAAATAAATATTATTGCGAATGTGTCTGCGATTGTAAATTATGGCTTGTGGCACTCATTTGTTAGCGTTTTTGCTGCTTTGTTATGTCTTGTTTCTCGACATTTGTTTTTATTGTTCTTTCGTAATTTCTTGTGCTGTACACTGCGGAAAAAAGAGTAATATGATAATACAAATTGGCGTCGAGCCAGGCGAAACATGCTCCCGCGCTCTCAAAAATCGCAAACAACTCGCCGAAACCCAACTTTGCAGAACATTTACTTAGGCTTCGCGTAAAAGAAGTTGCAAGAAACGGACGCCGCGCGCAATTAAACACATTTCTCAAGCTCGTTTCTTTCGCTCACATTCGCTTGTTTTTCGCCAAACTATAATTATAATTACACCGCGAAAAGTACAAGCGAGAACAAAACGCCCGAGAATTAAAGGATTATAACAAGCGGATAATTTCGTCGTTTCTTTATTGCCCGGAGCAAATTCGGTATTAGTATAAATTAATCAGCTTAAAAATTAATTTCGCAGCAGGACAATATCGCGCCGCGTAATACGGTGTTGTATACATTTTCTGAGTATTTTCCCACAACTGCAGAGAGACTGGAAGCAAATCGGTTTAGCAGCGCGCGTCGCGTCCCAAAGAACAATGCAAGAATTTCTGGGAAAAACAACGTGCGCGAAAGCAAAAGTAACTGGCCGGCAAACTTCCCGAGAGCAAGGAAAGCGATAGAGATTTACGAAGATTTAAAGTCCAAAAAGACGCGCGCTGCGCAGAGAGCAAAGTAGGCGGAAAATTAATTTTTAAAGTACAACACTTCTCCTGCCATCCTCTCTCATCAGATTTCCCACTTTACGCCTGGTGAATATTTTCGTGTTGGACAACCAAATGTACACTATAATGTAATATTGGTTGCCTATACAATCAATACACACAAGTGCGTTGGTTATTGTGGCGCGATGAAACAAAAGGGTTCGAAATCGACGAGCGGCGAGCGCTGGGAATACACGCAACATCTATTAAAGGAACAAACGATCAGGAACACATCAACGTCGGCAACCAACTTTGCGCGCATGTTGCGCCCAGCGCTGCTGGGTTGGTGTTTCCCATATCGTCGCCGTGCCACGTATTGAATTGTTCGGAAGGGACGCGAGAGAGGCAACGCCGCTATCGAAAGTTACGAGTTGACAGCACAGGTAATTGGCAATCCGCGATCCTAAATCGATTAGTCCGTCTGCAGGCTCTCTGCTATCGGCCGCGCACGTCACTCAATTACCAGACCAGCACACCACCAAAACCGAGCCCACACGTTGCGCCAGACACAAAGAGCAAAAGTTTAATTCGATTTAATACACTCGCGCACAGAAAAACAATCAACAAAAATAACTGCAATATATACAACCAACTATACAAATAAAAATAAAAAATGAGTAGCTATTAGATATATACAACTGGTTGCATACATTAAGAAAAAAGGCTAAAAAAATTAAAACGTATTACGCCTCCAACGAATTCTTTAATTTCTTTGTTCGGTGCTTCAGTGAAAAGGAGGCTTTGGTGTTTGCTGCCTGCCGGAGAGAAGAGTTCGGCGGACTCACGAAATGCGCGCCAGTCGGCGATCGTAAACTTCGTGCGGAACTTTACGAACAGACGAATTTTATGCGGAACAACGAGAGCAACGGTAACGCTTTAATTTTCCAAGTAATAAAATACATAACTACCACTTCGCTCCTCTCTCACAACCAATGCCCACGCGCTTCTTTTTCTCGGTCTTCGAACGACGCCATCTTGCCAACAAACGAATCACTCTTAATATAGAAATAGAAGGACATCTTTCATGACTTCACGACTTCATACATAACATATTGAAAGAAGAATTGAGTTTGACTAAAAGTTTTGATGATTTTCTCAGTATATGACATCCTTTTCTTTATTTTGCCAGAATTTAACAAAGAACCGTCCAGAAAAAAAACTCGTGAAGTCTATTGAAGGTTGTAAAAATGTTTTACGCATTTTTTAATGAACCTCCCCGAAATTAAATGAATGAATGGCCGAAAATATAAAACTGCAAGGTAATAAACTTGTCACTCGATATGCCAGACACAACTTGAAAAAAATTAAAAAAAACTTTACATATTTATAAATATATGCAGCATAATTCTCTTTTTAGTGTATGTTTGGTTGCATATAATACATTTCGTGGGCGTCCGCAAACTCTTTTGTTATCTGTCACTAACAACAAAACCATACCGTTACGTCCCTTTATGTTGCATACTGCATATCATACTCGTACTTCAACATACCGAGTGTTTAACAAATAAAATTTACGATCACAATGGACACGCTCGAAAATTAAATTAAGTGGCCTGTATATAATGCAATATAAATTTGTATGTGCATTGTAACGATGTTATTATTCGTACACATCATTATCATTAGCGCAATCGAGGAGGTAGGCGTGATTAGGCCACGTTTTACCGGTAGTCGACCGACCGACCGACCCGCCGCGATTGTTGTCTCTTCGCACGATGTCGAAGGATCATGCTCGTCATTTATCTCGGCGTCATATCTGCGCGCAAGCGGGCGGTC